TTTGAAAGAAAATGGCCTCCGCAGGGAGTGGTACTATTAGGAGATGTGGCTTTGTGGGAGGAAGTGTGTCACTGTGGAGGGCTTTGAAGTCTGGTATGCTCCAGTTACACCCAGTGTGGAAGACAGTTCACTTCTTGTTGCAGAACAGGATGTAGAACTCTCAGCTCCTTCTCCATCACTGTGTCTGCCTGCACACTGCCTTGTCCTGCCGTGATGATGATGGACTGAACCTCTGAAACTGTGACCTACCCCCAATTAAATGTTTTCCTTCATAAGAGTTGCTGTGATCATGGTGTCTCTTCACAGCAATAGAAACCCTAACAAACACACATATAATAAATAGTGTGATTAATGTAGTGATATCTGATGATATATATTATATGTGAAGGTCATCTTTTACACACCTGTGTAACTTACTCAGGCCTTACTGACTTGTTCCAGTTCTGTTTTTATCTTTAAACATTCTAAAGGTGTAAGATATGGATGCTTTTAATAGTAGAATTGATACTTGGCCATGTTAGTCGATTTGAGAGAGAAAGGCTGATGAGAAATTGTTAGGAATTTTGTCCTAAAATTTTATTTTTGTTTGTTTGTTTATTTATATTTGAGGCAATATCTCACTACGTAGCCCTGGTTGTCCTTGCATGAAGTAAGGCCTTAAACTCACAGAGATCTTCCTGCCTCTATTTCCTGGGATTAAAGGCATGTGCCATCATACCCAGTATACATTTTATTTTTACTTTTAGAGTGTAGCATAATTCTGAGACATTTTTAAAGTTGGGTTATTTGTCCTTATTAGAATGTATTAAGTGTACAAAAGATTGAATTTATTACAAAATTTTCGTGTGTGCACATGATCTACTCCAGTCACATACACCTCAGTTACTAGCCCTTCTTCCTCCCAAGTGTACTTTCTCTACCTAAGCAGTCTTGCTTGTATTTTCATGTCTTTTTTAAAATATAGATTTAACATATGAGAGAAAACATAGCATAGCTATCTTTCTCAGCTTAGATATGTTAGAGATAAAATGGAAGAAAACCATAGCCATTACAAAAATAAGCCATAGTGAGAAAGCCTTGTTGATAGATTGGTGGGCTTTGCTTCTAACATTTTTAAAAAAATAAATTCTACAATGTTCCAATTATGTGTTACATAATACTTAGACTTTGTTTTTTCTGACTAATCTCACTTTATATCCATCATGTCAGGCTGCTTCATCTTACTAATATTAATTGAGGTCAGTGGTCTCTGATAAATTATGTGGTCCATTAGTCTGAAGTTCAAAACAGAAGAGAAAATGAAGATTGTTCATTTTTCACTCCTCTGGCAAAAATGCAGCCTTGATTTCTTCTTGGAAATAATACTGTCCAACACGGATCTTTGAGCCTGTTGTCAAGAATGCATACGGCTCCCCTGCTAGATGCTGCTAGCATCAGGGAGGTAGACGTGAGTGAAGGGAATGGGGGACCCCTTCAGAGAAGCAGGAGGGTGACCTAGGTCAGCCAACTCACACTTGACTGAGACTCCTGCAGACAGATGCTGTTACCATCAGACAGATGTTTGGTGGCCTAAATGAATGAAACTGGCCTCATTCCAAATCCTAGATCACACGTGGGCATATTGCTAAGAAGAGGGAGATGCCTATGGCTGAAGTTGGCGCTATCTAATATCTTTGCTGACAGTTCAGCAGAAGGGTTATGAGTCAGAGGCTGAGAGGGCTTAATTTGTGGTAACAGGCAAGGACAATGATGAAGCCATGTGATTCCCAAATATACTCCGCAGTCCCGGCATTTCACTCCTGGACACATGCTTGTGTGTGTGCATGTTGGGGGCATGGAGGTCCTTGTGCACACAGACCAGCACCAGGGGAACCCAGAATGTTAGACATGTGGTTGTTCCTTCAAAGGAAGGGATATGGAGCCTGTTATTCTCCCAGAAGGCTGGGAACGGACGTGGTTAATAACCCGATGACCTTTGCACTCTCTGTGTGGCAGAAGACCATACCAGTTCCTCGCCCAGACCTTTATCATAAGCTACTTTCTTAGTCAATCTTCAGAACCCATCTTAATGGAAGATGTGACGTACTTTACAAAGTGTTTCGGTGTAGTCACGTCTGATCTTCATTTAGCTTACTTTGTTTCTCGTGGTCCTCGGGGAGATTTATGTGTGCTTTATGGTGCGCTGCAGATCAAATTAATTAGCACCAGGAAAGCTTTTACCAAACTCTGCTGTGCTTAAATATGTCTAAAACAAACACTGCGGGTCAGACTCCTGAAGCTCCTTAGTCATGTCAAACTGAACTGCCTCCCATGAGTCACGGCCCTGGAGGTGACAGAGACCCCATTGCTGTGCTGACCCGGAGGTGGACAGAGACCCCTGCAGGTGCAGTCTATAGAAGGACTCCATTAGAATCCTCAGACTCCAGAAAACCATCCTGGTGGCCAGTTTTCTCTCACTCACAAAGTGCCCGAGAGAAACAATTTTTAAAAACGAGAGGTTTACTCTGACTCATGAGAAAAACTGAGGCTTAGAGAATTTATGCAGCCTTGTTGGGTCACAGTTTAAGAGGGAGTTCTGGTTCCTAAGGTCTTCTGATTTAAACAGGGGAAGTTTGAGCTGGGAGGTGGCAAGACAGAGGAGGGTGTGAAAAGCTTTGCTGGCTCTCCGTTTTCAGAACTCCCTCAGGCTGACACCTCCTGGGTAGCTGTGCCTTGTACTCCCATCGCTACCACCCAGCTCCCAGACATGCTCTTGCTCCCTAGGGTGGAGGGTGAGCTGATGCTGGCTCGCAGCAGCACAACCACATCCCCATCTGGAACTGTGCCAGGTAGAAGGGAGATGCTGCACTCAAATTACAGCCCTGCCCCAGGCCAGGCCACAGTGCAAGCACCAACGTGCCCTGCCTGATTTTCGGATGTCTTGAAAAGCCGTCACCGTGGGAGCCAGCCATGATAAGTTAAGTCTGGGCAGGTCACCCAAAGGAAGTTCTTTACTTCCAACCATTACCACCTGCCAGAGAAGAACTCTGGCCATCGATAAATTTAAATGGAGCCCTGAGTCTCAGTAGTTTACCCTGTAGCAATATCTGGTTGCAGGAAGAACCACAGGCTAAGATTACCTGACCTCCACCCAAGAACAGACCATTCAGAGGAAATGCCTAACATTCCAACCACTGTAGATAGGATCACCTGCCAAAACACACTCTCCAGGATACCCCTAGACAAATGTCAGCCAATCAGGGATCCTAAAACCTCAGAAACCCCTCAGCCCCATCTTTACTACTATAAAACCCTATTCTAATTGAGCTCGGAACTGTCCGTTTATTCCAATACGTTGGACATGTGGAAAGACTGAGTTTGCATACTTGTTTAAAATAAAGGCTCTTTGCTTTTACATATGGGACTCGGTCTCCTCGTTGATTTTGGGGGGACTTCACGGATTTAGGCATAGCAGTCACAGCTTCAGCGGTTTTCCCATGACATCAGAGCTGCAATGGCAACAGTAGCCCCAGGACCTCTCCACCTGCTCACTTTGGCCTTCCTCCTTTTCTCTACCCACATAGTTGATTCCTTCTCTTCGATTTTTGGAGCCCACACATGCCAGGCAAGTACTCTATGTCTTAGCTCTATCTCTAGCCTTCTTTTTAGTTTATTCAGACACAGGATCTCATTAAATTGCCCAGACTGTCACACAGTGTGGGAGAGGCACTGGATAGGCACTTCCTAGCCACCTCGGCTAGTGTGACCTAAAGGAAATCTCTACCAAGAACTTCTTCTTTCCTATCTGTTCTTCAAACCTGCTTTCAGGAAAGGGACAGAGAAGCTGAACCACACACAGGGAACCAACTGTTAATGTCTTACTGTGTGAGGTTTAAAATAAGCTAGTGCTTACTTAAAACCAGATGAAGAAAGTAGATGAATGTTCTCGCTCAGTAAAACACTATTTGAGTATTTCCTGTATTCATTTGTGGTTATAATCTGGATAAAGAGATGATTTCTCAGCTTTGTGGAATGGACCCTGCTGGTGATTCTGCTGACCCCTGAGCCATCACTGGCCCTATGCCTGGGTCCTGTGAGGGGCTTTGATTTTCCTCAGGCTCTGAGAAGCTGCTGACCACTGAAGCAGTTCCACACTATGGCAGGAGCAGGTATCTCTTGACCATTCTCCAGCTCCCCCAGGACTGAGGAGGAACTTAGAGTTGTTCCATGTTCATTTCTCCAGAAAAGGAAGCTGTCTACTCCACTTCTGTTCGCGTTAAAAGTACACTAACACCCTTCAAGATACCAAGGAAAGAGTCCAGAAGAGGCAGCAGCCTTCAAACCCAGCTGACCCAGGCATTCAGCAAAAGTGTGGCCAGGGTTTTCAGGATGAGTTCAACATAGGGCACAAGGAGAAAGGCATCAAGGAATTTTGCTGCAGGTGACCACTCCGAATGTTTGTGTGCGTGCATCCGTGTGTGTGTGTGTGTGTAACTAGAGATGAAAGATAGAACATAAATACTGCCTCTAATTTTCTCATGTCTCAAATGTAGCTCTCCACATTGGCTCTTCCCTTGGCTCGTCACAGAGTGACAGGGAGGCAGGCCATTGCAATGAGCAGGACACTAGTGACCCAAAGACCAAAAGCCTTGGCTTGCTCCACTACTGTTGTCTTCCTGGGAATCCCTGTATAAGTCGTGGGTCCTTTTGCTAGACTTCAGCTTAAGGGGTGGAGGTGGGGAGACTAAATATATGTTCAGTTTCACATCTGGCTATCCAGTACAATCAATAGCACACACAGTTATTCAACAGTAATTCACAAAGGTAACATACAGTCTCCCCTTGGCGAACACATGTTCATTGAGAAAAACGTTAAGAATTTCAATACTTAGGAGAGACTTCTCATTACACTCACATACATTCCAGGAAGAGTATTGCCCAAAGAGGACAGGATTTCTGAGTCACTCACCTGTGGCGCTGAAAGGGGCTTACAGGGAACCTAAGACTCCCGGATCATTTACCTGGAGAGATTGCCACAAATGACTGAGCATGGCTGCGTGTTGTGTAAGTATCGGATGGCTTTGGATGTTCCTATTAACACACTGATCCGAATGTGCCAGGAAAGTGGGGCCGTGTTGTCCTAGAGAGAGAGAGAGAGAGAGAGAGAGAGAGAGAGAGAGAGAGAGAGAGAGAAAGACAGAGAGAGAGAGAGACAGAGAGACA